AAACCTGGGGCCTCCCCCCCCCCCCACCAGCAGCTGTAATTCCCTGCTTCAGTTTTGTGCTCAAGGTTGTGCTGGAGTTCCCTTACATGTTCACGGCCTCATCAAACTGCTCCTACAGCTCTCCAGCAAGGCATAAATTCAGGAGATTTCAGGCTTGGAGCTTTCAAAGTCGTGCTGAACCACATGGAAATGATTCTCAGGGCTGCAGCTATAAAAATAATTAGCTGGCTTGGGGGAAAGAGTGACAAGAAATGTCCCTGAAAGATTGCAGCGGTGGTTACAGGATCTGTCCCCGCTCTGTGAGAGGCTGCTGTGATCTCCAAAGTTAATTTATCACCACTACCTATAACTGTGAAATATGCCCCGAAAAAGCACTGCAGGGAGGAATGTGGAGGGAGCTGCAGAGGAGAAGCCACGAGATCTTCCCTTTTGTTTTAATGAGGATGCTCTGCGCGCTCTTAAAATTAGAGCGACTCCACGCAGAGGACCGGGTGCAAGGATGACTAATTTGGAGACAAATTAGGTCTACTTAGCTGAAATGTATGCCTTGGCTGCTGCCTTAATGACTCTTCTCCTGAAAGGGACTTTTTTGACCACAGCCCTGGCCCCAGCAGATTAAGGAATAACCCTCTCGTGCCGCTCTTCTAAGGAGTCTTCCCGTTTTGATCCCGCATTTTCCCTCCTCTGCGCGTATCTCTAGCTCTTTAGGATGGATAACTAGTTTCTACCCATCGAGCAGACTTGTCTTCAGCATGTCTCCTTCTCCAGAGTGTTTTCCTTCCACTCTCCCATTCCAGGATCTCTGAGCCTGAGACTTTTCTGCCCGGCTGCGACGTATTCGGTGTCCGCAGCACTAACAGATTTATCCTCTCCCAAGAACAGACACGAACATAAACAGAAGATCTAAAATGCTTTTTGCTGGGCTTTTAAATGCACTAAAATGAACCACCACCAACACACACACACACACACCGCCCTCCTCTGCTACAAGCCTATTAATGTAAATAACCAAACTTTACAATCCTTCCTGTCAAGGAAACGTATTTATATTTTTCCAAGGATGGGTTTTTTGTTAAAAAAATGGGGCTTTGGGGACAAAAAGGGCTTAATTCCAGTGTCACGACACCCCCAGTTAACTGTACTGCTCTCATAAAGTATAGAATTAGGTTGTTCCCAGGGCCAGCAGAGATAAGATCTGTTTGCTTCTTTAAGGACAAAATGAAATAGGATGCTGGCGTTTTATACTGGAAACAGCCCTGGAAGCCTGCGGGGGCAATGGGAAGAGGGCTGTGTATCACAAGCACACGTTGCCCGCTGCTTTTCCAGGACAAAAATGATGGGAAAGGTGTTGTTAGTGCCCGTGGCAGCCCAGACAAAGGGTTCATCCCAAGCCCTGCTGTGGCAAGTGGGAATAAGGGGGTTACTGGCAGACTGGTCTTACTGGGAGCAGGGTTACGGCTACATCGTCCTTTACACATTGCTGGTCCTCCTGACATCCCAGTTGGATGGTATTTTTCCTACTGGACAGAATAGCAAGAAACATATTTTCTTTTTTTTTCCCTGAATGTTTTGCTGTTTAGAGCACCTTGAACACACTGAGGGGAAAAGAAGGAGGTGGCTGCAAGGGAAGGGGCGCAGGTGCTGGCGATGAGGAGGCAGAAATTTTGAGGGGGAGGAAGGCTCAGCTCTGTGCTCCCGTTGAAGCAACCCCTTGCACTACTGGAGGTGCAAAGCTGTGCCTGCTTCTCCTGAAACTGTCGGAGTGAGTTGCCTGTAATTACACGGAGCAGAACAGGGAAAACCTCTCGTGGCCAGAGGAGCCAGCAGCAGTGACCTGCGGGCGTTGGCTGAGGCCAGGTGGCATTTTACCAGCTCCCAAGGCTCTGATTTTCTAATCAACGAGCTCCTCTGGTTTTCTTTTTGCAGCCAAAGGGGGAAGGACTGTTCCTCCAAGGAGAAAACCTTTCCTTGCCTACCTCTCCCCAAAACCCAGGGCAAAGGGAAGGTGGCTGCAGCAAGCCAGCCTGAATGGAGCTCAGCCCTCCGTGCTCACCCAAAGTCTGCTCCTGAAGACAAGCAGGAGCTGATCCCAAAGTCAGATCCCTACTTCTTTAAGGTTGTTTTTTTATTGCCATTGAGACAGCACAAGCAGCTCCCCTGTTATGAATCAAAACTCCTCCAGCCAGGACAAACCCACGCAGAAGCCCGTGACACACCACCCAGCAAACTTTGCCCGTTTTGGAGGGTTTCTTGAGGGTCTCATCCTTTTAATTTCTTTTTTTGTGTGTGTGTGTTGTTTTGTTTTTTCCTGGCAGACCTGATTTCTGTCACCATGAACGATCGAATCCGACACCCCGCACCACACCAGGCCATTTGTCAACAACGTTTTCAACAGTTCAACCGCGCTCGTGTGCGAGAACAGGCACAGAAAGGGGAGACCCAGGGCTGAGGAGAAGGTCCTGGGGGCTTGGGAACAGGCCACCTTCCTCTGCAGGGGGCACGAAGGCAGAGCAAAAACCCACCTCCAACCACCAGGCTGGACGTCAGGTCACGGGCAAAGACACCGGGGCGCTCCGAACCAAACCGAAAAGGGTTTGTCTCTACGTTACGTTTTCTCCCACACAGCCCCAAAATGTGGGGACAACGACATTGCCATATAAAACCCCCCTCATCAAAGCCAGGCTGATAATAATCCCAAAAGATTTTTGTTGTTATTTTTTTTTTAAATGGGCTTTTCAAAAGAAAGAAAGAAGCAGGTTTTGCTGCCGCGCGATAGAGAGGAAGGTTGTACGTGAGATAATAGTCTTTAAAACCGTGTTGGCTGATGGCAGGACATCATTTGGGAAACAACAGAATCAATGCATTGTTCCATCCCAGCACTTTACTATTCAGCCAATCTCAACTGCTGAAGAAATATGTGTTCGGGACATTTTACATCTGTTTCTGACAAGAAGCCTGGGGTTTTTTTTGCGTGTGGTGTTTTGTGTTGGGTTTGGGTTTTTTCTGTCTCTTTTTTAAATCTGTTTGCTGCAGCTTTTTTAGCCAGATGGGAAGGGGAAAAGGCTTTCTGGTTTACAAACAGGGATTTACCCCCCTTCTTTTTTTTTTTTGAGGTTGAATTTTAGCCTGCAAAAAAACCAGCAACACCAGCCATAAAACCCACCGCGGTGGCGTTTGCCTTTTGAGACGAAACTAAACAACAGGCAGCTGGGGCAATGGATGGAGGGACCCATTTTTGAACAGCCTGATCATTTGGGAGGGGAAATTTCTCTAGAAAACCATGTGGGCACCCTAATTGCAAACTTCCAGGAGGCAAGGAAAACGTGCACGTTGAAAGTGGTTTCTAACAGGGTTTTAAGTCTGTGTTTTACATCACGAGCAGGGCCTGGTTGAACACTTTTCGGGATGTGTGTTTTTTGTTGTGTTTTGTTTTGTGTTTTGTTTTTTTTTCCAAAGCCCTGTAGTTGTTTTAAAATGAGCTGCTCCAACCAAGTTGGATTTGCCTCTTCAAAACAGCCTGGCCAATGGGCTGGGATAAAACTTGCATCTTTAAGGAGCCGATTCTCCGAGCGATGAAATTATTGCGTTTTGCATCACGAGCGACATTACACGGGGTGAGGAGGGTGGGGGGAAACATACACACACACACACACACACACACAAATTTCCCTTTCCAACATTTTCTGGGCAAAATGGGTTCTGCTTTATGTACTGAGCCCCAGGGAGCAACCGGCCGTACACAAACCCCCAGCTGACACAGTGCAGAGCTGCTCCGCTTAATTAGCTGGAGATGAGGGTGTTATTAAGGTCCTTCCACCCCCCTTTCTCCTTTTTTTTACAGTTTATTCCCCAAATATTAAAAAGGCAACTTCAGAGGAAGTAGCTTTCTGCTAACAGAGAAGGATGAGGGAAGGGTTTTGTGATGAGGGTAAATAAGAAGCTCCATCTAACACCACCAGCCTTTGGCGAAGGGAAACCTCACGAATCCGAAAATGTGGCAAAAGTTTCTTCTATCTTTGTTTGCTTTTGGTTGTTTTTTTTTATGGTGTGAGGGGAGGGAAGGGGCACAGCCCGGGGTTGCAGCCGAACATCTGCTGCTCGTTTCTGTTTTAAGAAAAACGCAACCTGGGGCCAACTTGTCCTGGGGACCCCCCTGGTCCCCTCCCCACCCCC